TATGTTCTACTGGGAAAAGCTATTTTCTGACAACTGGGATATTCTTTGCCATCAGGATCATCTGGATCAGGTTGTTGACAGTTTGCCCTGAGGGCAACAATACACTCAAGGATTCTCTGGATAACGCTTGACACCTGTTTGTTTGTTTTTGTCATCATTTTGATGATATATAAATGTATGAACTAGACCTACGGTACTCTTTTCGGCATACCAAGTAGTTTGTAAGATGTAAGGGGTGAAAGTTAGCATATCCAATAGAGTGTTTTTACATGATATCATGGCGGCCATATTGGTGTTCCAAAACAATGAAATGGCGGCCATATTGGTTTTCCAAACCCATGAAATGGCGGCCATATTAATATTCCAAACCGATGAAGCTGTGGCCATATTGGTCTTCCAAAACAATGAAACGGTGGCCATATTAGTTTTCCAAAAGCCAATAATGGAGCGGCGGCTATGTTGGTGTTCCAAACAAATCTTGTGGGAGTTGAACTCTTTTCTTGTCGCACCATGTAAGGGAATCCAAGAAAGTCTTGGATTCTGGATTCCACGCCATTGTTTCCGGATTCCAGGTACTAGATTCCGGGCTCCTTATCATATCAGTAGATAATAGATTCCGGATTCCAATCATCAATGGATTCTGGATTGATCCAAAGTCAAGCATTCCGGATTCCACAAGCACAATTTTCCCGAATTCCACACTTCTTTTTGTTCAAATAAAATTTCATAGATGCTGGCCACGTTAGCAAAACCGTTCTCTCAAGTTTTAAAGAGTAAAATCTTTAGGGATTCTAAGAACGAACTGGACCAGTTGAGCAGACTTTTTTCTTTTATCTATTGTAATTTTAATTTGAAATGTTCAAAAGCTTTGAACGGCTGGCATGACGTCACTAATAACCATAGCAACTGTTATGCTGGGTACACGTTCATATTCTCTTAAATTCAACAAGTAATGACTTCATGACTTCACTTTAATTTAATATTGTAAGATGATTCTGTACATCATTTATATTTTAAGCTCCCTTTATTCAGTGTCAAGGGGCTTTTGCATCAGGAGCTAACGCTAAAAAAAAAGTCGAAGTGTGTCATCGATATTGTGCTGTCGCACTTTGTAAAAGCTATCGCAATTTGTAATAAGTCCATCGCACTTTCTGATACCTGTCGCAATGTGTAATGAAAAAGCTGTTGCAATTAGTAATAACCGGCTGTCCATCGCGCTAAACTAAGCTATAGCAATTTGTAATAATTCATCAGACTTTGTAATAACTTTTTTGGGATTTTTTTCAAGTATTACAAAGTGCGATGGATTTACTACAAAACTTGACAGATTTCTTTTTGTATAGCACTTATTATCTCGTACCTAGATCTGTTGTTGTTAACCTGAGTATCAGGCCTTCCTAAGGGGCTAGGGGAGAGGAAACATTGGATGGGGGGAGGAGGGGGGGAGAAGAGAAAGAAAGGCCTGACACAAAACCATTCAGCAAATCGTGTGTCACATCCAAAATCTGGATGTAGCAGTGATTGCATAACACACAACAACACCTGACGTCACCGACCGCAGGTAATAGGAGCTGAGCGATCAGCAAGGAGAAGCCATTGAAATTTTTCGTAGATGTTTTGATTCCATGTGGTACTTTTATGGACAGAGACGCAGAGAGGAATTCAAAAAGGCTCTAGAGGGCGCTCTCAAGTTCTTTCCTGGAATAAAAAGAACACCCGAGCAAGAATTGTGTTTTCAAAGCCGCGTAGTTAAAAGGAAAGATGTTCTCGGAGTATCAAAAAGCCTCATATACCAGCTTCTGCCGAAACTATGTCGGAATATTGGTTTCACAAGACCGTGAGAAAGAAGGCAATATCAGTGCCTCAGATATCTAAGTTCTGATTTACAATATCCTGCCGTTAAAAGGGTATAATTGTTACTGCAAATAAAATTAGAGCGAGGTAGCCACGTATTAATTTGAGAATGGCCGACTGCACCAAGGCTTTTGCTTGACTTTGCTTGTGCCTGTTACGACAGCGTACGTGATTGGAATTCGTTCGCTTCCTCTTCCAAAATTGTTTTAACTTTTGAAATGTCTTGAGCTCAAACGGGGGTCATCATATTTCGCTTTCCCTCGGACGATTCTCGGCCTGATCTACATCAGCTTTTTAGCTGCTAGACTCTCAGGAACCAGCTTATTAATGAGTGCCTGTTGTAACTCTGTAAACCGAAGCAATTTACAATTTTCCGGGTGCCCGTTAATTTACAACCAGAGCGTTGGCGATCTTACATTAGCAGAATTCCTAAAACATGTTATAATTCCTCAAAAACGGCAGGTTTTCCATTACAAGTATTCGAAAACTCCTCACTGGAGGTTTGAGGAAAAAGCGAAATCGTAGCAACACAAGCACTGGAGCTCGGCCAGACCGTAAGGTTGAAGCTGACAACCCAATGACCGGAAGTGATTTTGATTGGATGGTATCGAATCATGCTGAGTAGGGGTGGAAGGCTCCAGTAAAAGCATCTGTGTCACTGAGGCGTTTCTCTTCTCCAGCTCTCTCCCTTTTTCGCTTCCATCTTTCCCCCTTTTCCCCAGAAAGGCCTGATACTCAGGCTATGTTGTTGTCTACTACTGAACTAAGCTTTGATCTGATAGTGATGTTAAACAAATACTTAGAAATTACCAAAAAAAAGGATCTGGGGCAAACTTAATCAAACATTTTAACGCTCAACTGACCGATCACAAAGGACAAGCTGCCAAGGTCATCTTTATTTATATTAAAATTCAAAACTAGCAAACTCGATCGCTTTTTGACGCTACTGATGTTGAAACAGCGAAGTTGACCTCTAAAGTCTTCAACAAAAAGGAAATTTTAAAAGTATAAGGTAAATGATCTTATTATAACAAACAAGAAAGATAACTGAAAAGTGAAAGTGTCTTTAAAATAGCTTCTATTTGCGGAATTTTGACGGCGTAGGTTTTTATTTTTTGACTGAGACCTCATTCAGAAAATGGTAAATCAAACATTTATTTGTTGTTTTGTGCTTCGATGCATAGAACACATAACACCGAATTTTATCTGTACAGGCTCTGATGTTTTCTTACAATTCTTTCCACTATCTTCTTGTTCTCTCAGCGTGTAAATTGCGTTCTGATTTTTGTTATTGAGGCTAGTGAATAATTGGATAACTGAATAAAAGTTGGAAGTTGATTATCAACTTCTTCTGCGCATGAAAACGAGCAATACTGACCAGGATTTCGTTGAATCCTAATCGAACCCGTTATGAACAAAGTGTAAAACGTAACGGGCGACTTCAAACTAAAGAATTACATTCGACTTTGCCGGTAAATAGCTTAAGCGATGTTTGAAACCAAGTCTTGCCACGTCATGCTATAGTCTAGCCGACTTTGATAGCACGGTAAATAGTAACAAGGCGTTTGAAATGGCGGGCCTAAACGTTATTGCTTTGGAATTCTATCAAACATATATTTGAAAACAGTGTATTTTTCAACCAAGTGTCGTCTATGCGCGGACTCTATATGTACGCATTTTTACGGGTCATTTTTAGCTGCTATGTTACGGATACGGTTGATTTCACCAAAACCCGAAGGTGATTTGCATTCATTGCATGGCTCGGTAAACCCGTAACTGAAGAAAACATTTTCTAATTTGAAGCGTATGCAACTCCAAAGATGAAGACCCAAAATTCTCAGTTTACACATTTGTGTAAGAAATGGGTCATGTGAAGTTTAAATCTTTCTCTTTTAGGGCAAATAATCAAGGAACTTATAATGAACATAAAAATAAGTGACCGAACGTAATGCTAAATCAAACTTGCTTGAAACTTTGATTTCGCTGGCTCGTTTGAGGTCGTTTTAAGTCCTTTTATTGATAAATCATATTAATGCCTATTTTGATATTTTGAGCATTTATTGTTAATTTTAAGCACTTATGGTAATATTCTAAATATTATTGTAATATTGTATTAAAAAAACAGTTACTGTGATATTTTTAACGTTCACTCTGAAAGAACCATTGGACTAAGCTTCAATGGAAATGGTGTTAAATAAGTAGATAGGTAATTATTATTATTATTGTTATAATTATTTGTATAGTTTATCCTAACTTTACAATCAAAACAACATTTTGAAAAATATTTACAAATTTACGACCATATCCTAATATATTTACAATGGATAAAAAAGGAAAAATTGAAACTAAAACAACTATTAAACCATATTCATAATGATAAAAAAAGGGAAAAAATTAAAACTAACGCAATATATACAAATTTATAAAAACAATGATCCGTTATCACAGAATTTAGTAAGTGTTCAACTGGTAACCAGTTCCCGTTACAGGTCACATCCCGCAACCTTAGTAGTAGAGAACCCGTCGGAGGATTCTTGCTGTTCCTAAAAGGGCAGTTTTTTGAATCTGAGGCACATCAAGATTCATCCCTATGCTTTCAAGATGGCCAACTAATCCTTCTGGGATTGTCCCACGTGCCGTGAGGCGCAACTCTTGTTTTGACCTTCCACAGTTTTCTCAATTCTTTTGCCAGGTCTTGATATTTATCAATCTTCTCTGTCTCCTTCAGTTCCACCCTAGCATCCCCTGGTACAGCTACATCAATAATTTGGCAAACTGATTGAGTTGTTTGTCTACTACAACTAGGTCAGTCCTATTGTGTCGAACCTTTTTATATAATTATTATTATTATTATTATTATTATTATTATTATTATTATTATTGATGCGCAACTTTTTTTTGTGGGATCGATTAAGTTCTAAACCATATATTCGATGCACTAGTTCCTGGTTGGGATATCATTACCAGGTATGTCCGACGTCATCATTGGTGACACCCTGAGTCGCGATCCTCGGGACCAGCGTCAACTAAAGCAATGCCGATTTCACATTTTCAAAATACCTGGTTTTATTAAAAAGCCTTAACTATTGTTCACTTTTAATAAGTTGGTTGAGTATGTGTTTTTTATTTTCCTAATTTTCTAATAGATGGCTGGCAAATTAAAAGTTTCTGGGGAGTCTCAACGTTACATCAACATGGAAGCCATGGAAGGTCTCTTAGATGACCAAAGTCGACACTCTTCGCTGACAAGAAAACGCTTTCAAGTAATCTCCTCGATCTCTGTGAGAACGCTCATTTGCATTGTGTACTTTCCGTTTCTGGCCTGGCTGATTATTGGAATGGTCTTGTACTCTGTCCATGCTTACGAAACAACCTTCATTGCAAACCATACCATCCTCGAGTCAACACAACGTAAAGCATTTCTCCACGCTGATCAAATGATACTCCTATGGATGGTTTCCCAGATAATTAACGTTGGTCTGGTTACACTTGGTTTGTCAAAAATACCATCCTTTCTTGGCTATTTGGCCATCTTGAAATTGCTTGTGCGCCTGCCATCCTTCTGGAGTCTTTTGTCTTTGTACGGCATATCTTTATTACGTTATCTTCTACTCATGTGGTTAAAATACGACTCGGGAAAAGAAATGGCCTTCATTCTGGCATCCATAATTTGGGAAGGCGCCCAGATCGTATTCATTGGCTTCCTGAATTTCACTCAGGTTAAACATGCTCAGAAAAAGTATCCATTTATGGTTTTAGTTTTCTTCAAATTTAACATGTTCATTTTATTTTTAACTGACTTTTTAATTTTTGTTGTGAACACTCTTCAGTTTGCACTCCACATTGATCAAATTGATGAGAGTGATGGCGTTTCTTCAGAGTTACTTTCGTTGATAGGTGCAATCCGTAAATTTACAACGTTTGCTTTGATGTATAAAATGTATATATTCTACTGGCAAAAGATGTTTGTTGACAACAGGAATATACTTTGTCACTATGATCATCTGTATCAGCTTCCTTAAAGAGGGTATACGTCACGCTATCTCCTTCCTTCTTTAACTGACCCTTTCGCTGCCAAATTTAGCCAAAAGCAAATTTCGACCAAATTTCCAACTTTCATTTTGTGAAATTTTGAAAAAACAAATAGCACTATGTTTAAGTACAGGAAGAGAGCTTTCATTTGAATAGTCACATCATAGGATTTCGTCCGCAGATTCAAAAGTTACAGTCACCTTACAAAACTCCATTAAGCACTCTGGGCTCAGTTGTTCGAAGGCCGATTAGCGCTTAACCCAGGGTTAGATTTAACCCTAGTCTGTGAACAGGCCTTTGGTCGAGCGGTCCCTCTCCTCGCGATTTTTTTCCCCAAACAGAGAGCCTATTCACAAGCTAATTTAACCTGGATTTCTTTTTCTTTTGTTCAAAAGCATTTTCTCGGATAATTTTCTCCGTTATTTTTAAGAGCATGCAATCATCAACTTGTTGACAAAAAGAATTAAACTGAATTTACTCTTTAAGCTTTCATTTCTGAATTCAAATTTCGCACTAACCCTGGGTTATCTTAACCTAGCTTTGAACAACCCGGCCCTGGTCGTGAAAGAGTTAAAAAAGCTATACTGTGATGGCGTTTCTTCAGAGTTACTTTCGTTGATAGGTGCAATCCGTAAAGTTAGTACGTTTGCTTTGATGTATAAAATGTATATATTCTACTGGCAAAAGATGTTTGTTGACACCAGGAATATACTTTGTCACTATGATCATCTGTATCAGCTTCCTTAAAGGGGAAACGTCACGAAACTTGACTCTATTTAGGCCTTAAAACTGTTTCCGGTCGTCTGTTACAGTAGATGGTAAGGATGGACATGCATTGAAACTTCAACTTTTAAAGCTATACCTGAAAAAATTACCAAAACGTTACTGTGTCCAGTGCTCCATGATGAAATGTGTTTGATATCTACTTTATATTACTATGCAAGGAACGTTTTTTTGGATGGGTAAAGACACAAAGCAATGATTTCAGCGCAGAATTGAGCTAAAACACCAATACCCTTGTGACATAGCTTCGGCGTTATATGTTCCTTTACTGTGTACTAAGGGCAACCATGCTTGAGAAAATCTTAGAATAGCTAGTTAAAATAAAAAAGTTTTTTCTGAAAGAAATAAATGTCTTTTTATAGTCATATGATTATTGTGACTGATCGTTTAGCATTTCTCCAGCTTAATAGAGGGAGCCTTCCTGCCATCCAAGAGGTAGGCGGCACATCCCTAAGAATAACTGCTATGAGTAACCCCCAACCCCCGGGATTAAAAAGCACCTTCCGATCTTCTATAGCTTTCTGTGATTCTCAGCACGAATGCGCAAGAAAAAAAGGAATATTTGACACATGCCTGCTAGATTACAACTATCATTGTCGCCTTTGGCTGGTCAGCCTTCCTTGCTGTTTGAACAAGCCATCTACTCAATATATGTGTTTGCTTTTTTTGTGTCGTAAATTTGGCGAAAGGTGAAAAGTGCAAGTCTCCTTACTTTTTAGCCTCCTCAGGTAAAATAAAAATCTTTTGGCACAAGAATGAGGAAATTTGAATGTAACTTTCACGCAAAAACCCAATATTCCAGATTGATTGAGATTGTCGTTATTAAGCAAAGACTGGACACCACAATCTTAATCAATTGAGGTTTCTGAGTAACTGACCACCTACCCTGAGTCACAATCTTCCCGTAAGCGAGAAGTAAGTGTTAATGTTGACTTAGGGGAGGCGTAGGTGGGTAGTTACTTAGTGGGCAGGCTTTGCAGCCTTTTTATCTAGAACTTAGCCACTTTTCATCATCATTCCGGCTCTCCCTCTTTGGATTGAGTCTTTTTTAGGTCAAAAATTTGCAGTTGGTCAATAGCCTTCAACACAACCATAACAGGCCACTCTTTTAAAACATTTTTATTACCAATGATTAATGGCATTTTTTTAAGTCTCAGTGAGTGCTGCCTTGTCTGGCTTCTGGGCGTTGACTGAACACCACTTTTACTTGCCAGCAATTTTACTTGCCAGAGTGACCTTGCTGTCGCTGTCGTCTTCTCGGCTGTCTTCTCTTTACTGACTGATGCCAGTTAGTAGGGTCCCGTTGCTTACGACCTCTAGAAGATGTTCCCTCGCTCTGTGACTCCATGCTTGGTTGACTTCCCGAAGCGGCATCTGCTTTTATGCTATTGACTTCAGCGACCAAGTTATCTCCAGTCTCCCGTGAGAGGTCCTGATTCAGGTCTTCATCTTTTGCAGCTACAGCTCCACTTGGAACTCTGTTTCCTCCAGGTATAGCCTACGTGCATACAAATCGAAGTAGGCTTCTTTAAAATTGTATAATTATTTAGTTTAGTCGCTGTTCTAAATATAGTCTAGATCTAAATTATATACTGTATAATCTTCTCTTCTTTATAATGTTCTCGTAAAAAGGCTCGGGTTTTTTTAATTTTTCATCAGTAACTTCTCATTGTCTGCAGTCAGCTTCAGTTTCACCGTACGTAGTATCTCAGTCAGTTGGGGTGCTTTTTGGTTTCCATGTCCGGTTCTTTCCTGCTCAAGGTGGATAATAACGAGGTTTCTGGCGTCTAAACACTCAAAACTTTACCAGATTCAGGGCCCAAGCGCGAGGTTTGGGAGGTATACGCAATGAAAGAAAGGTTAGACCTTCGAAGGTACTGCATGAAAACTAGGGAGTGGGGGCATTCTTCCCTAGAAGATTTTTCAAATTTAGGGGCTCAGAAATGCCTTTTCCTGAGTTTCCGCAGGACATTTGCAGTAAATAAATACGAAGGAAAATGCAATAGTCGCTTAATTTACATCTCTAGTGTCATCAGTAAGGCGTAATGTTTACGGGAAAATAGTGACGCCATCAAGGAGATTACAGGCAAAGAGCGACACGTATACTCTTCAGACGGGCAAATACACCAATACAGTGTACGTATAGTGCGGAAGATTGATCAAACATCCCGATTTAATGATAAATATTAATTCTTTCAGGCAAAATATGAAAAAAAAACATTTTGTTTGTGCGTATATAAGGAAGTCACGCTACTGGCATTCTTCAGGTGATTTGAATCGTCCAGAGTGAAAACTGAGATGTTCTTATTGCAGGGACTTCTGTTACCTTATAAGCACCACACACGTTTTGCGCGAATTTTGTTCAGGGAAATGTTGCCCTCAGTTAAGCTTCTTGGATTTCAAGGGGCATGTCACGAGGTAAACATGCATTTCTCACAGAATTTGCAGTTAAGCCAGTCAGAGTCAACGAACCGTTGAATCAAATAGTATATTAAAAAACTATGCACTACTCAAAGGGAACTGTCCCTACAACATGGCCACTGGAGTCCCCAGCCGTAAAGTTGAAAGGCAGACTTTTGAAAAGCGGAGTGGAGTGAAATTTTCCCAAGACAATAATGTTGCACCCACCTGAAAGCAGATGGCATAAATCACAAGAAAGATGAACCAGTTCAGCCGGTACATGGCGTACAAACTGTCTGTGGCCGGAATTCTAAAAAACTGAACTGAATATAGCGTACAAGTTAATGCGAAGAAATTTAACTACTTTCTCACGGCATTTGTAATTTTGCCTATCATAATTTCTGCGTTAAGAAACCTTTGAATTTAAAATTCACATTTTCGCTAACAAAAAAAAACGATGCAACGCACTGACACCTTCTCTGGAAACTCAGGGCTGACGGAACATCATTGCAATTCATAAATTTCAGCTACACTTTCTACAAGTTAATACGAGAAAGGCTGTAGACACTCAGGGCAATGAAATAAGACGTCATCGGCGATAATGTATTTCCCCTCAAATTATTTAATTAGATTTCCTCTCAAAGAAAGGCCTAAGTGCGGCCTGTACTACTTCAGTCGTCCAATTTAAGTGAAGTTTTTATCAACCGTAAGCGGAATAAATTTCATTTACATTCAGCGGTAATGCACAACTCATTGAAACTCTCAAGTACCGAGGAATCCGCCTAGTCTTCGATCTCATAGCCTAAGAGCGCTTTCCATTTGTCAGAACTGACTGGCCAGCCCATTTCCGTCGCAATGAGAATCTCACTTTTAATCAAAACTATCCAGCCAGATCAATCAAACCTTAAATAGTATGCACGGAGGAGATGAATTTTCATAACAAAAAAAAATTCTTGGAAAAAGCTTTTTTCATTGTCAAAATGACTCAGGGTCCGTCCATAATCCAACCGGCCAGTTCTGAGTTTTGGAGCGGACTCTAAGTACTGACCCCTACTGAGCACCCATCAGCAGCCTTGAACATGCGATATTCAAACATTGTTTATCCACTATAACTAGTTGATTTCAACAAGATCGTTTCTTAAGTCTCTTGGAGACAACAAGACCTAATTTTTCGTGAACAATTTGGTGCCAGAGAAACACGAAAACCTTAATAAGTGACTATGAAATAAAAGTGTTTTAAATTGGAAAATTGCAACTTGAATTTAACTTTACTGATAGTTAGAATTCAACTTACATTCTCTCGGGATCCACAAGGAGCGTCTGCCTCACGGTCAAGCACCGATTGTACTGCGACAGCGTTCTTGCCATTAAAAAGGAGAATTGAATAAAGCCAAATAGTTAATGTTTTATCATCAAGAGACCACCTGGGAATATCTGTCAACACGTATTCAAGCATTAAAATTAAAAAAAAATTGACAAATATAACCGCAGCTAAAACTTACGCAACTCAACATGATTGCTATGATCTTAAACTACAAATCTCATAATTAGATGACCTCACGAACATTTTTAACTTAAAGAGTAACCAAAAAGGATTTGAAATGTGAAATGTGAAAGAAAAGAAAAAGAAATGTGAAAGAAAAGAGAGAGGAGAGTGGGAGGGGATAAGAGAGACAGGCCCCTGCACAAAATAACATGGTACCCGCTGAAAGGAACCTTGTGGAACAATCTCCAACTGAGTTGAAATAAGCTGTTTTTTTTGCTTTTTAATAAAAGCACCTAACATGTTTCCAACATAAATTATAATGCCATCATGCTACATTTTTTATTAATTTTCACGGTTCTTGCTTTAGTTTCCCTGCCCTCTTGAGATAATTCTCGGATGAGCGGGTTACGGCTTAAGAAAATTTTTTATTTTCTTCTTACTAGTTTAATCATCTTTGCTGCCTTGTAATCTAATCATTTACTTACAGTTAAGTTAGTAAATGACGGATATGCAATAAATAATGACTAGGAAAAGGGAAGTGAAAGAAAATCAGTAAAATAGAGAAAAAGCACATGCCGGAGATCAAGGGACAGGTGGTCATTGACAAAGTCACGGTTTATAGCTATAATAATTAACATAATGATAAATAATGATCATAATAACCTCAATGTGTTTTATTTTATACCATTCTTACTGTCGGTGGGCGAAATTGCAAAGTGGCGTGAGGGTAACCCCAATTCATATTCCAGAATAAGAATCGATATCACTGATTGTGCAATAAAGACATGCCCTGGCCCTTATGGATCTTAGGAAGACTGCAGAGGGCAATGCAAATAAAATCAATGTGCATGTCTCCAAATCTTACGATGGCGAGATGCGACTTTAATCCTATAAAAAGGCTTTATTTTAGATAAGGAGAATAAGCCAAACAGGTTGAAATCCGCTATGCTAGCACAAGAACAACAACTCATGTAAGTATCTTAATGTTGCAGCAGAGACTTCTGAGTTTTCTTCACTGCTGTTGTTTGACCATTTACTTGCCTATGAGAATTCACTAACGTTTTTGGACCTGTAGAAAATACTATTCTATGACGGTATCATATCTTCTGACTGATTGTACACTAAAACATGTTGTAATAAATAGAGGACCAAGAAAGCTCAGAATTTTATATACTAATGGCAATGGTTCTTATTTTCGTTCAAGAATAGCAAATTGTATACCAAACCTGAAAATACGTCTGCCTGGATTCATCTTGATAATAGTTGTATAAGTGCAATTTCCAAACGTAGCTAATAGCAAACGCTATACTGCGTGGTAAATTACGTTTGGAAAAGTTTTATTGAACAGTTATTCCTGAAGGAATGCTGGCAAAGACTGTCCTGAGGTGGCTTTAAGAAGGAAGATTACAAACTTATTTCTTCTAAGAAATTACTTCGATGTTGCTAAGATCTTTTCAAAGAGAATAACTCAGATGTGGAGACGAAACCATTTTTATTAAATGACACCTTTATTCGGTTTATTTTTACAGCTATAGCTAATAAAGTTAATGATTATATCACATGAATGCTCCGTGAATTATCAACGATATTCTTTCACTAAGTTTTCCCAACGATAGATATTTATGATTACCATTACAACCTCGTTCAAGCAGCGGAGTATCCTGTTCGTCACTGATGGCTATCTAGTGCACTCAAGGATCTTAAACAAAGCTTTTAAAGAGGTTCCTGTTTCAACGATTATTCACCAATTCATCATATTAAATCTCTCAATTTCTGGCGAAGTTTTTAAGAGTTGAATTGGCCATTTCCCAGTTCCCCCGGGCCTCTGTTTCAGAACGAGGGTAGGTGCTCAGCCTTTGATATGGAAATCATTTTTCATTCTCATGCAAATAAAACTATCTCACCCACTTGTTTTGACCTTCCTCAGTTTTCTCAATTCTTTTGCAAGGTCTTGATATTTATCAATCTTCTCTTTCTCCTTCAGTTCCCCCCTAGCATCCCCTGGTACAGCTACATCAATAATTTGGCAAACTGCTTGTTGTTTGTCTACTACAACTTGGTGTCAGGCCTATTGTGTTCAACCTTATTATTATTATCATTATTATTATTATTATTATTATTATTATTATCATTATTATTGATGCGCAACCTTTTTTGCGGGATCGAAAAATAAGTTCGATGCACGAGTTCCTGTTTGGGATATCATTACCAGGTATGTCCGACGTCATCATTGGTGACACCCTGAGTCGCGATCCTCGGGACCAGCGTCAACCAAAGCACTTTTGATTTCATATTTTCAAAATACCTGCTTTTAAATTCTTAACTATTGTTCCCTTTTAATAATTTGGTTGAATAGTCGGAAACAGGAAATTTTCATGTTTAATCTTGCCCAC